CAGACTCTGCTTCCACACCCACCACATATGGGCCAGGAGGGTCCCTGGTACCTGTGAGGTCCTGTTTCTATTTCACCCCTCACTGCACCCCTCATGTTGGTCTGTCAGTGGACTTCCTCTTCGGTGTCTCCATTTCCTTGTCCCGGCTGCCCCATCCGTCTGTCCCTTGCCAAGCACTCATCCTTACAATAACACTGAGAGATGGACTCTACTACCACCCCCCGTTAGATATAAGGACGCAAAGCCTGGGAAAGTTTGGGTGACCTGCCAGGGCCGAGCAGCTGGTAACCGGCGGCGCCGGGCGAGCAGCGAGCCGAACCNGACCCGGAGCCGAGGCGCCCGAGGCCGGGGCGGCGACGGGGAGGATGTGGTTCTTTTCCCGGGACCCAGTCCGCGACTTCCCGTACGAGCTCAGTCCGGAGCTCCCCGAGGGCGGCCCGCCCGGGCCCTGGTCCCTGCACCGCGGCCGTAAGAAGGTGAGTGCGGCTCCACGGTCCAGGCCGCTGCCGACCTCGGCCTCGCTTAGTTCGCGCCGCCGGCCCCGCCGCGTAGCGCCCGGCCTGACGTGGCGGCGGAGCCTCCGGGACAACGGGCCGAGGATGGGGACCGGTAGTGCCGACGTGGCGGGGGGAAGGACCGAGGGACAGACGGACGGACGGGGCCGGGTCACGTGGGCCCGGCTAAGTCCCTAAGGGCTGACCTGGCCAGCGACCTGGCCGGCGGTCCTTATTTTCTGGCCACAAAATGGCTCTGGGGACCCCCTCGGAGCTGGTGAGACCCAGGTCTAGCGGAGTGGGCAGCCCGACCCCCACCCCTTAAGGCCCCTCTCTCCTCCCCCAGGCCACAGGCAGCCCGGTGTCCATCTTCGTGTATGATGTGAAGCCCGGCGCCGAAGAGCAGACCCAGGTGGCCAAAGCTGCCTTCAAGCGCCTCAAAACTCTCCGGCACCCCAACATCCTGGCTTACATTGATGGGCTGGAGGTACCTGCTGCCCTGTCTGCCCATCTCTGCCCCTCACTCTCTCCTGGTCTTTCCCTCAGTTTCACCTCTAGTGCCTAAACACCCCCAGCTCTGGTTTTCTCCATCTCTCTCTCCAGCATGTCTCTCATGTCCCCTTCCTCTCCCCACATCCTGTCCTGATACCCCTCTGTCCTCTTCCCCAGACAGAAAAATGCTTCCACGTAGTGACAGAGGCTGTGACCCCGCTGGGAATGTACCTCAAATCGCGAGTGGAGGCTGGTGGCCTGAAGGAGTTGGAGATCTCCTGGGGGCTACACCAGATCGTGGTGAGGTGGGGGGCAGTGGTGATGAGAGCAGGGATGGGGGGCTGCAGGTACTGAGGCATGATGGCTTCTTCTGCCCCCAGAAAGCCCTCAGCTTCCTGGTCAACGACTGCAGCCTCATCCACAACAATGTCTGCATGGCCGCTGTGTTTGTGGACCGAGCTGGCGAGTGGAAGCTTGGGGGCCTGGACTACATGTACTCATCCCAGGGCAATGGCGGGGGACCCCCCCACAAGGGGGTCCCTGAGCTTGAGCAGTATGACCCCCCGGAGTTGGCTGATGGCAGTAGCAGAGTGGTCAAAGAGAAGTGGTGGGTGACCAGGGACAGCATGCCCAAACCTGCCTTGTTCTGGAGGCCCCTGCAGCCTTGGGACCCCTACACTAGTTGGCATTTCCCTCTACCCTGCTGCCCCACTGGGGAAGGAACCAGGGTCCTGGGAGTGGGGCCCACTCCTTTGCTCCCAGTGTCCTCAGGGTGGTAGGGCAGGATGGACACAGGCTTTGGGGTTGGATGGTTCTAAATTTGAAAGCTCTGTGACCTAGAGTAGATGTCCACTTCTTGGGGCTGATGGGTCAGTTGAGGGACACAGCCAGGACCTACCATGCAGTGGGTGTCTGGTGCCCAAGGCAGTTTTGAAGCCTGTGCTGGGGGTGGTGTGGCCCTGAGCAGCTCTGGATCACCACAGGTCAGCAGACATGTGGCGCTTGGGCTGCCTCATCTGGGAAGTCTTCAATGGGCCTCTGCCTCGGGCGGCTGCCCTGCGCAACCCAGGGAAGGTAAGTATCCCGCCCCTGGCTGTCTGCCCCGCTTCAGCTCCTCACTGCCAGCCAGCCACCCCTGCCCTGACACTGACCCTTCCTCCACAGATCCCCAAATCACTGGTGCCCCATTACTGTGAGCTGGTGGGAGCCAATCCCAGGGTGCGTCCCAACCCGGCCCACTTCCTGCAGAACTGCCGGGCACCCGGCGGTTTCATGAACAATCGCTTTGTGGAGACCAACCTCTTCCTGGAAGAGATTCAGGTGAGCCCCCGCTCCACACACCCTGGGCTTTGGTCCTACGTTCCTCACCCCTGCCCCCCACCCTACTTTTCTGGGTCTGTCACAATTGGTCCCTCTAGAGACAAGCACGGACTATGGAGTTAGGGGTATCTGGGCTCAAAACTTGCTACAACTCTTACCTTGTGACTTCCCTTGGCCGAAGCTCAGATCTAATAATATAATAGTACCTACTCCGAAGGAGCATGGTGACGAGTCAGTGAGGTCAAGTGCACCAGCACGCAGTGGGTGCTTAGTGACCACTCCTGTTATTCCAGGAACTCCACATGCACAATCTGGCTCTGGTCCCCGATGTGCCCAACGCCCTGTGCTGGGTGGGGTAGGCAGCAGGATGAGGAGGAAAGAGAGTCAGACCTAGATCCCTGCCCTCAAGGATCTAGCAAGGAGTAAGCAGGCCAGGTCCCCACCCTTGGGAATTCTTGTTAGGGAAGAGAGACAGAAAACATAAACAGAAAACATGAATGAGAAAACTTGTGCTCCCTGGGTAAGTTAGGAAAGTAAAATACCCAGGAGTCGCAGGGGGTATGTTAGGGGAGGGCACTGCGAAGGGTGACATCTGAGCTGGGACCTGAAGGACATGAAGGTAGGAGCCATAGAGTTGGTAACTGGGGGAAGAGTGTTCCTGGCAGAGGGATGGCAAATGGAAAGATGGTGAGGAGGGAGCTCTCTGCTTTACCTCTGAACCTCAGTTTCCACATCTGTGCAATGGGGAGAATCAGGGTACCTGCTGGCCCACAGGGTTGTTGTAGGAGATGAAGGAGGGAGGCTCTGTTCTGTATACCTGCTGTGACCCCAGCCGTGGTGGGGAACACAGAGAAGAGGCTGAGAATAAGGAGCTGAGGAGGAGAGTGATTCTCACTTCATGGACCTTGATGGCACAGAGTCTGTGGAATCTTGACCCAGACTGGGGACAAGGATAGCCTCTGGAGGATGGGGAACCTGAGCTGCATGTTGAAGGAGAAGCTGTTGGAAACGCTGAGCCCTCTTGCCTCCTGGGTGGTGTGGGGGCAGCAGGAATTTTGTTACATGGAGTTTTCCTCGCATGGCTGGCTCTGCTGGGCTGTTCTTCTTAAAATGTGCCCATAGGAAATTGGCCGTTTCCGGCCAGCTCCCAGGAGAGCATGGCCCAGGGACCCCTCTTCCCATTGTCTGCTGAAGCAGTGGAGGAAACTCAGATGCGACTTTCTTAGTATGTGATCTTGGGCTTGGTTTAGCCTCTCTCTGGGCCTTGGCCTCCCAAAACCCTGCAGAGAAAACCAAACCTGCCTCCTACGCTGGACTGAGCTGCCTAAGGGCCACCCAGATCCTCCTTGTCCCCAGCTAGAGGTCATCTCCCCTGTGCCAAGTGGCAGCTATGGGGGTGGGGCTATAGCAGAAGGCAGAGGAACTTTGGAATACAGGACTGGGTGACGATACCTGCCCAGCCAATCTTGGCTGCTGACCTTGACCCTCAGCCGCCTCCTTTGTAAATGGGGGAGGGACAGCATCTCTTTGAAGGGTGCAGCACAGCAGAGGTGCCAAACTGCTGGGTCATAGCCTTCCCTGACTGCTTCTTAGCTCTGTGACTTTGGATAAGCTCCTTGCCCTCTCTGTGCCTCAGCTTCCTTGTTGGTGAAATGTGGATTACATTGGCACCTACCGGAAAGTTGGGGAGAGGATTATTCAAGATAATCTGTGTAAAAGTTTTAGCACATAATCTGTGCTCAGGAAATGTGAGCTGGGGGTATTAGCCTTGGAGGGAGGTCAAGAGGACTAAAGGAGATCATGGAGCTGACAGCCTGGCCTGTTCTGGCTCAGTGGGAGGACCAGGTCTGGGGGTAAACTACACCTAATCCCTCCCTTCCCACAGCCTGCCAGGAACTCCACCCAACATGGAGTTGCAGGTGTGCCCAGCACAGTGATGGCAGGGGAACCAATAAGCCTCTTCACCTCTTCGAGCCTCAGTTTCCTCATTTGTGCGATGGGGTTATGGTCTATCTTGGCTTGTGAGCGGTAGAAGCAACGATGATAAAGGGCCTCCTCCCCCTAGTGGCTGTTCACCTGGCAGCAGGGCAAGTGGTGAGATGAGAACCAGCCACTAACTGCTTGAGCACCTGCTGTGTGCCAGGCACTGTCTGGCAGCTATGTGGGTTTTCTGGTTGAATCCTCAGAACAACCTGGAAGGTAGTGGAGTTATCCCATTTTACAGGAACTTGCCCACTAGAACCAGCCACTAACTGCTTGAGCACCTGCTGTGTGCCAGGCACTGTCTGGCAGCTATGTGGATTTTCTGGTTGAATCCTCAGAACAACCTGGAAGGTAGTGGAGTTATCCCATTTTACAGGAACTTGCCCACTATCACACGGCAAGTAAATGGGAGAATTGGGCTTTGAACCCAGGCAGTTGGGTTCCAGAGCCCAGGCTTCACTTCTCCTTTAGGCTGAGGGTGGCCCCCTGTCCTTGCCCATGGCTAGGGGCCATAACCAGGCTCATTTCCTCCCTGGGTCTTGTCCTCACTCCCCCAGATCAAAGAGCCAGCCGAGAAGCAAAAGTTCTTCCAAGAGCTAAGCAAGAGCCTGGACTCATTCCCTGAGGATTTCTGTCGGCACAAGGTGTTGCCCCAGCTGCTGACTGCTTTCGAGTTCGGCAATGCCGGGGCCACTGTCCTCACGCCCCTCTTCAAGGTGAGTGGGGCCAGGAGCCTCTGTGAGGGGATACCTGGAAGGCCTGGATCTTCAAGAGATATGGGGCCCAGAGAGCTGGCTGGGTACATCTGAACGGCCAAAGAGAAGGCCCTGGGGTGTGGACAGCCCTGTGGGACTGCCCTGGGGCAGGGCAGCCTGGTTAGGGTAAATTCAAGCTCACATGTGGAAGACTTCTTGCCAGCATCTTGGTGGTTCAGCAACCAGGGCCATCTGACCAGCCATCTTTTGGGGAGGAGAGACCCTGTGGCTCCAAAATCCTTTTCCCACAGACACATTACTTCTGATCTCTCAGCCCTTCTCCATTTCCCTGAGACAGCCTCCTGGTCTGACCTATGCACCCTGGCTCCCAGCCCCCAGGGGATCACCTGCCCACCACCCTACTATTCCAGCCTCCCTCCTGACCACTCAGCACTCAGCTCACCTGACTTCTGGGGGCTGGATTGTCCACCTTCCTTAAACTGCAGCCCACCCTTCCATGGGCACCTGACATCACTCTGCTGCTCTGGGGAGAACCCTTTCACCTGAAACTGTGAAGACAGTAAGCAAATCCTGTGTAGCTGGGAACCCTCAGAAGTTATGTAGGCACGTGATGTATAGGCACTTGGTCAAGGGGAGGGGCACAGAACTTTTGTCAGCCTCCTGAAAAAGGCCTTGACCCAGAAGGATAAAGGGCAGGGCTGCTGAGATGGATTGGGCAGAGGGGCTGCTGAGGACATGCCTCCCCCTCCCCACTCTGCCATCACCCCATTCTGCCACCACCCCATCACCCTGGGAAATCAGCAGGGAGCCTGAAGAAGTTCCATGAGCCCAGCGAAGTTGTCCCACTCCTGTGGATGTGGCTGAGCCCCCCTTCCTGCTCCTTCCCACAGGTGGGCAAGTTCCTCAGTGCTGAGGAGTATCAGCAGAAGATCATCCCTGTGGTGGTCAAGATGTTCTCATCCACTGACCGGGCCATGCGCATCCGCCTCCTGCAGCAGGTGAGGGCCCTGCCCAGACCCCACCCTGACTACACAGGGACCCCAGAAACCCTCCCCTGAACATACACACAGGTGAGGGACCCAGTGAGGCCAGGCTCTCAGGGAGTTGAGCTAGTCATGCTGCTCACTGGCAGCTTTGGGAATGTCCAGCCTGCCCAGTCTGCAGGGCTCAAACGCCCCCTCCCATCTCCTGGCTCAATCACTCTAGGCTTCTAGAGTGGGATGCAGTCTCATGCCAACCCCAGGGTGGCGGGAAACATCAGACAGGATTGGTGGGATCTAGGGTGGGGCCCTTGTGAGCAGGAAGTACCATGGCTCCCAGGTCCCATTCCCTCTCCACCTGCCAACACACTAGCCCTCCTCGCAGCACTGTGGCAGGAGGAGTAGGGCGGGGGTTATACCTCCTTTTATGGAGGAGACAGTGGAGGTTCTAAGAGGACATGATGTAGGTGTCCAGTTAAGCAGGATCAGAAGCCAGGCCTTCTGACTCCTGGTCCTTGGCTCTTCCCAGTACCCTCCCGGCCTCTCCTCACCCCTCCCCGTGGTCCTGAGCCCAAATACATGGGCAGGGGCTCAGGAGGCTGACCCGGATAGCCAGTGCCTGACAGGTGGGAAAAACCAAGCCAAGTGCAGCCCCATGGTGGGGGGAGGGATAACCGTGTTCTCATGCCCCGTTCTGGACCACAGATGGAACAATTCATCCAATACCTTGATGAGCCAACAGTCAACTCCCAGATCTTTCCCCATGTTGTACATGGCTTCCTAGACACCAATCCTGCCATCCGGGAGCAGACGGTCAAGGTGGGTATGGCCAGGCCCAGAGTGGCCACCCCTGGTTTTCCAAGGCTTAGAGAGGACTCACCATAGGACACGGAGGCCTTGGTTTTGGCCTGTGAGTCTGAGCAGGTTATGGGAGGGGCAGGCGCACAGGTCCAGGCGGTGGCGCAGCTCAGCTGCTGGTTGGGGAGCAAGGTGGGCACGGCCTGCAGCCCCGTGCCGGGATGCATTGTGTGCAAGGCAGGCCAAGCTCCCTGCCCTCATGGAGCTTCCCTTTGAGGGGACAGATGGTGAGCTTGGCAGACAATGAACAGAATTAGATAATACATGTTAGAAAGTGGTGGAAAGGGTAAAGAGAAGGGTTTGCAGTTTTTAAAAACAGTGGTTAGGGAAGACCTCACTGAGGAGGTGCCATTTAAGGAAAGCATTGAGCTACATGGAAATCTGGAGGAAATGTATTTTTTGCAGAAGGAGCAGCAAAGGCCCTGAAGCTGGAATGTGCCATGGTGTAGACGTAGCAGAGGAGGTTTAGAGAGGCTGAAGGGGAATGGTTGTGGGAGGCGGAGTCAGAGGTAATGCTGGAGATGGGGGCTGGGGAGGGTGCTGTGGGGACCTGGCGCACTCCCTGGTAGTGAGACGAGCCATTGGGGGTGAGCAGAGCCATGTTGCTGTGTAGAGAACTGTCAGGGCGAGTGTGGAAGCTGGGCTGCTGTTAGGGGCTGTTGCAGTGGCCCAGATGAGAATGGCAGTGGCCAGCAGCAGGTGGAGAGAAGGGGCCACACTCTGAGGGTGGAATTGCCAGTGTTCGCTGATGGATGGCTTGAACTGTCAGGGCGAGTGTGGAAGCTGGGCTGCTGTTAGGGGCTGTTGCAGTGGCCCAGATGGGAATGGCAGTGGCCAGCAGCAGGTGGAGAGAAGGGGCCACACTCTGAGGGTGGAATTGCCAGTGTTCGCTGATGGATGGCTTTGGAGGCAAAGCTGGCCCCGAGGCTTCTGGCCTGAGCAACTGGAAGGTTAAGTTGCTGTTTAGTGTGAAGACTGGGAGGAGCAGGTTTGCAAGAGGAGGTTGGGCCCCATTTTGGCCATGTCTGTAGCCAGGTAGAGATGTCGAGTCAGCCTCTGGTTATACACTTGTAAAGTTTAGGGAAGAAGTCTGGGCTGGAGGTGCACGCTTGGGGGTGGTTGGCTAACAAGAGGGCATTTAAAGCCATGAAATCAGTGAGATCATCCAGAGCAAGAGTGTCAGATACAAAAGAGGCATGAAGATTAGCTTAAGGTGTTTGAACACTGAGATCTCAGCAGGAGGAGCAGCCAGTGAGGTTGGAGGAGAACCAGGAGGGGCTGGTGTCCTGGAAGACCAGAGATAGAAGTTTCAAGGAGGAGGGAAAACTCAGGGGTGTCAAAACTGCTGAGGGGTCAAGTTTGGTGAGGACAGAGAATTGGCCAATCAATTTAGCAACATGGAGGTCATCAGTCACCTGACCATGCCAATTTGGTAGGTCGTGGGGGATGGGGATGTGTTTGTGTGTGGAAGTGAGTGGAGTGTAGGCGAGAGAGAGCAGAGGAGAGGAATGGCAGACAGGAATGCAGATAAACTTTTGAAGTTTTGCTGTAAAGGGGGACAGTGAAATGAGGGTCCCCTTCCTCAGCATGTCTAGTAGGACTGGGCTGGGAGGTGGGTTTGGGAGGGCTTTGGCAGGTGTGCTTAGTGCAGAGGGCCTCCAGTGACCTGTGCACTCTCCTGGGAGGCCATTCCTGCATGTGAACCTTTGCCTGCCTGGCCCACAATTTTCACTGTCCCCCTGCCCTGCAGTCCATGCTGCTCCTGGCCCCAAAGCTGAACGAGGCCAACCTCAATGTGGAGCTAATGAAACACTTCGCGCGGCTGCAAGCCAAGGACGAGCAGGGCCCCATCCGCTGCAACACTACGGTCTGCTTGGGAAAAATTGGCTCCTACCTCAGTGCCAGCGTGAGTGTCCTGCCCAACTGCCGGCAGCCTCAGACCCATCACAGGACCACGGCCGCCTCCAGGGCCAGGAATCCTGTGTGCGTGGGCTCTTGTTCTCACAGAGCCCTAGGCCCTTTGCCTAGCCCCCATGTCTGGGCTCTCAGAGGTGGAATGCATCGTGCCAGGTCACACAGCCAGTAGGGGGTGGGTCTGGGATCGACCCAGCTTGGCCCCACAGCCTACAGATATCACCTCAACCAAGATTTATAAGTCAGACACCTGCCCCGACAGTTAATGGGAATGAATGAGTCAGATCAGCGGGACAGGAACGAAGAGGAAGAGGAAGGCAGACACGTGCCCCATCCCTGGGGCAGCTGCAGCTCTGGCCCCTATTGCACAGAGGCAGTGTGGAGTCTGTGATCTGGGAGGAGATGCCCAGATCCAGAGTTTTAGGTAAATTCTCCCCATTTGTTAGTGATTAATTCACTTTTTTTTAAAAAGATGACCAGTAAGGGGACGTTAACCCTTGACTTGGTGTTGTCAGCACCACATTCTCCCAAGTGAGCTAACCAGCCATCCCTTTTTCACTTTTTTTTTTTTGTCTTTTTTCGTGTCCGGCAACGGATCGCAACCCTCAGTGTCGCGCCCGTACCGGACCGGGACCGGCAACGGGATCGCAACCCTCGGTGTT